AGAATGGGGGAGAACAATATCTGAGAGATGAGATAATAGCTAAGCAATCTCCTCAAACTAACAAAGACAACAACCTGCAAAAAAGCTCAATGAACCCCAAACAGGATGAATGTCAAAAAAAATCATACCTAAACACATGTTAGTTAAACTGTTGAAAGTAAAAGCAATGAGGGGCACCTGGCTGGCTCAGTTGGTAGAACATGAGACTCTTAATCTTGGGGTCGTGAGTTTGAGCCCCATGTTGAGGGTCGAGTTTACCTTAAAAAAAAAAAAAAAAAGCAATGATAAAAATCTTAAAAATGGCCAGAGGAAAGCCATGTTAATTTCAAAGCAACAATAAGACAAACAAGTAACTTTCAACAGAAACTATGGATGCAAGAGTCAATGGAATGTCTTTAAAGTGATAAAAAAAAAAAAAAAAAAAGCAAAGGTGCCAAGCTAGAATTCTACACCCAGTGAAAAGAGCCACCAAGCAATCGATCATTCAGGACATATTCAGACACATAAAAGCTGAAAAAATCCCTTCCCACAAGATTTTCACTAGAGAAATACTAAAAGACGTTCCTAAGACTAAGAAAATGATCCCAGATTAAAGGATAAAACTTCAGAAATAAAAGAAGGCCACCCAAAATGATAAATGTGTCAATAAATATGAGAATGCTGATGCTTAAAATTTAAGAAAACAAGAGCAATGCCTTACAAGTTAACATGTGTAAAGGTAAAAATTGTGACAGCAATATTTTTTTAAAAGGGCAGAGGAGGAAGTAAATGGACTTTAACTGATAAAAGATTACTGTTCTGTTTCAGAAGTGGTAAAAGAATCACAGTATGGTAGACTGTAATAAGTCAGTGATGCCTATTAAAATCAAATGTAACTACTGAAAAAAAAGAATTTATAAATAAAAAATTAATGGAGGAGAAAAAAATGGAATGACATCATTTGCTTAATCCAAAAGAGGTCAGAAAAAGAATAAAGGAACAAGGAATATATGGGACAAATAGAAAACAAATAGCAAAATGGCAAAATTAAACTTAAAAATATCAGTAATTGTATTAAATATAATTGACTAAACAATCCATTGAAAAAGCAGACTATCAGGCTGGATTAAAAATAAAACCAATGGGGCGCCTGGGTGGCTCAGGCGTTAAGCGTCTGCCTTCGGCTCAGGTCATGATCCCAGGGTCCTGGGATCAAGCCCCGCATCAGGCTCCCTGACCCGCGGGAGGCCTACTTCTCCCTCTCCCGCTCCCCCTGCTTGTGTTCCCTCTCTTGCTGTGTCTCTCTCTGCCAAATAAATAAATAAAATCTAAAAAAAAAAAAAAAAAAAAAAGAAAAGTAAAAATAAAACCAGTAAACCAATTATATGCCATTTGTAAGAGACATGCTTTAAATATAAGGACAGAAGTTGAAAATAGAAGGATGAAAAATATTATCACACAAACACTAACCAACAGAATCTGGAGCAGCTGTATTATATCACACAAAATAGGAGTTCTACTTCTGGTAATGACAGAGGAGATGTATCAGACCAAACCTCCCACAGGAAACAATTATACTCTGTTAAAAGTATAAAAACAATAATCTTAAGGAAATGGATAGCTACCAAAAGCAGGCAGAAACCAGAAGGGAGTCCACACATGGAAAAAGAGAGCAGCTCTGAGTGAGTTTCCCATTTTTAAGGCTTTTCCACTGAGGAAAGACCACAGTTGGTGCATTAAGAAAAACAGAATTAAGAGAAGAAATAAACAAACCTACAATTACTGTGGAGAGTCTCACATCCTTTTCTCAGTGACTAATAGAACAACTACAGAAAAAAATCAGCAAAGATAATAAATATATGAACCACACTAAAACTATCTGCCCAAATTGACAACTATAGAACCTTATTCCCCAAATCACAGAATATATATTTCAGTGCACCTAGTATGTCTCAACAAAAATAGACCATCTGCTGGACCAAAACCAAATCTCAATAAATTTTAAACTCTAAAAAATGTTATATGACCACATGAAACTAAACTATAAATCAATAATAACAGTATATCTAGAGCAATCCCTAAACATTTGTAAATATTAGACAAAGTAGACTTTACAGCAAGAAGTATTTTAGTGACTAAGAGGGACATGATATTCGTAAGACCAGACAACTTTTACAATTTTTAGAAATGATATCTGATCAGGTCTCTAGTTCTAATTACCAATTATCAGGAAATACAGTAGAACATACTGAATGACAATTTGGTAATGCAGTTAGCAAAATCCAGACAATCAGACACTCCTCAGAACAAATGATTGCTTTCTTCAACAAATATATTGCAAGAAAAAAAAATGAAGAGGAACCTATTGATTAAATAACTTAAGAAGCATGGCCACCTTTTGCCATATATGGACCTTAACTGGATCCTAATTCAAAGAAAAAAAATTTTTAAAGGAAGAGAGAGAGAGAATGAATGAAAGAAAGAAAAAAGAAAGAAAGAAAGAAAGAAAGAAAGAAAGAAAGAAAGAAAGAAAGAAAGAAAGAAAGAAAGAAAGAAAAAGAGAAAGGGAGAAAGAAAGGAAGAAAATGCAACTATAAGAGGACTGGGATGCCTGACAGGATCTAAATGATATTTGTTTAATAATGGTGTCATAGCATATTTTTATAGTCTTTATCTTTTAGTGATACCCATGAATAAAATGGGATGAAAAGATACAATATCAAGGGTTTACTTCAAAATAATCTAGGCATAGAGGTAGCAGGTGGAAGAAAGGGAAGTATAGATGAAACAATACTGGCCAAGACTTGAAAATGAGTTATGGCTTCATTGGAACTTGTTCTACACTAACCCCACTTGTGTAGATGTATAAAATTCTGCATTACAAAAGTTCCCTAAAATATTCCCTAAAAATGAAAAGGTATATGGCCATTGTGCCACGAGCTGTGAAAGGCTGTCTTATTTTTAAAAAGATAGAGAGAGACACACACACATTTGTTCTACAAGTAAACTCACTCAACATTGTTTCATCGGTACTTGGCATTTGAAGATTCTTTGGATAATATGTGATGAATGAATAAATGAGAGCAAGGAATTAGTTACTTCAAGGGGGTGTATGTGTGTGAAATTTTCCTAATTAATAATGATACTGAGTACTTTTTCATAAGTTTATTCACCTTAAGGAAATTCACCATTTCTTGGACAAAAAGCCTGTACATGTCACTAAGAGAAAACCAACAGCAATTCGTAAGTCTTCTTTCTGTATTCTGGATATATGCCTACTGTCAGTTATGTGGTTGCAATTTTTTTTCTCACCCTGTAGTTTATCTTCACTCTCTTAATAGTGTCTACTGATGTATAAAAAAATCTTAATTTTAATGTAGTCAAATAATTAAATGCTTTCCATATTAGCTATTGCTTTTTATATCTTGTTCTAAAAAACAATTCCTAGTCTGGGATCATGAAATAATATTCTTATACATATCTTTAAAGCTTTATTGTTTTTTTCCTTTCACGTTTAGTTCTATGATCCATCTGGAATCCAGTTTTTGACTATGGTATGAAATAAGGTTCCAATTTTCCTTCTCCAGATAGATACCCTTACCTCAATAAAATTAGTTTTAAAAATTCATACTTTTATCAATGCCTGCAACGCCCCTTTTTCATGAATATGTCACCTGTATATGCATAGGTCTACAAGATGTTCTGCTGGAATGAAACATAGCAATTTTCAAATAATTCTTTTTTAAAGATTTTTTTAAATATATTTATTTGACAGAGAGAGACACAGTAAGAGAGGGAACACAAGCAGGGGGAGTGGGAAAGGGAGAAGCAGGCTTCCCACGGAGCAGGGAGCCCCATGTGGGGCTCGATCCCAGGACCCTGGGATCATGACCTGAGCCGAAGGCAGACACTTAACGACTGAGCCACCCAGGTGCCCCCCCCTTTTATTTTTTTTTGCTCCCTGCTGCGATTCCGACGGTTGACCAGGTTTGGAAACCGTTGGCCTGCAGCTCAGCCGAGCCTGGAAGCCAAGCCAGGTATGGAGGCACCTCAACTGCTAGAAGCGAGAGACAGAACTGTTTGCAGGATCACATTCAGGATGCTTCGAGGAAGCGCAGTCTCTCTCTGACCTCTCTTTCTAAAGAACAGTGTCAAGGGCACTCGAAGGGCAAACAAAACAGAAACAGAAGGACTGGCGGGGAGATAACTGGCCTCACAGGTGTTCTGGCACAAGGTAGGGCTTTTTTCTTTTTTCGATTTTTCTTTCCAAGCTCAGAAGATTATTCTGCCTTCTTACTGAAAACCACAATCATAGAAATAGTGACAACTTCAAACAGACCAGTAGCTTCAGTAAACTGTTCCAAATTTATCTAAGAAAGATGGCTGTCTGGAATTAAAGCTCTCTAAGATTGGAATCACTTCTTTGCTTGGTAGTTTGATTTATTTCAAGTTCATTCATTCATTGAACAAAGTTGCAGATACAAGGATAAAACAGTCCTTGCTGTCAAGAAACTCACTGTCTAGAGGAGATGCCATTCCAGTAAAGAAACAAACACAATCTCGTAAGATAAATTCTACTGTGCAAGATACAGACAGGCAAAAGATTCTATGAAAGGAAAGAGGAGAAGGCACTCTTCTTTTAGGATCAAGTTTCATGTGTTGGCAAGAATGGCAGAGTGATAAGAGTTGAGGAAAGCAGAGATAACATCCTGAATTGATTTATGTCACACTAAGGAGTCTGGATAGAGTGTACAAGGGATAGCATCGACAGCTTTTCAGTTATCTGATTTGCATTTTGGAAAGTTAGAAATGAGGAACAATGTCAGGCATTTACAAGGTTAACTCAACAGTTTATAATTATCTAAAAGAAACATTATAATTTTATTAACAAAATGAAAACCTACTATCTATGGAAGTTTAAAGACTAAAAGGCTTGAAGTGAGAAGCTGCCTGCAATTTCTTCTGAATATACAACAGAGATTGAGAAAAGGAGGACAACCTAACATTTCAGGTGTACATACCTATAACAAGATGCTCCATAGGGACATTCAGGTCGGTCATCAGCCTCATCTTGACACATGACTTGTACACCTCCATAATCACTATCACCAGGGTGACTGAAGTGTTGAAAATGAACAGGATTCTTCCTATGAGGGTGGCAAATATACTGTCAGAAAAAATAATAGGGTATACTAGAGTTCTAGATATACTACAAAAAATAATTAATAGGATATAGCAGGAAACCAAGCAATACACATCTAATTATTCCAGAAATTGAACCAATGTGTTACATTGTTAAAAATAAAGCTCATGACATCTGGTTGGTACAGAACCCTCATGGTAGCAAAATAAAAGCATCTTGGTGATTCAAAAGCACAATTAGAAAAATATAAAGGAGAAGCACAAGTATAGTAAGATGCCTTAAATACAACTTACAATTCTCTTGAGAGTTAAATTATATACTACAACTATTTATGAGGCCATCTTTCTAATACCTAAATAAGACATTAAATAAGTAGACATTTAGGTCTGGGTGATTCAATTCTCAAGTCTGGATTCCCTAGTTCATGTCCTTGCATTAATCAGTATGTCTACATATGAAACATTTAATTTCCCCACTGTATCTTGAAAGCCTCTAGCAAGATTTGCAGGACTGAATACTGAGAAAGTGTAAACAAGTAGAAACATAACAAAGCTCTTAACCTTTAGGCCAATGTGTTTTACTAGGCTTTTAATACACATATACTACATAGCTACCTCCTACAGAAATAATGGAATTCTGTGCTACCTGTAATTTCATTTTACCTGTAGCAGCTTGCCCCATACATGCAAGATGTCCTCTTGATCTTGTTTTCTTCAGAACCTTGTGCAACTGAGTCAGTTGCCTTTGCATGCAAAGTTTCAAGATTGGAGAGATCAGAGCTGGACTCAGGAGGAGATCCTTGAGACTCCTCATGGAAGTACTTGTCCTGGGCACTCAAGTGACTCTCAGAACAGCTCATCTCCTCGCCTTCTTTACTTTGTGTTCCTTTCACAATACTTTTATGCTCAGGAACCTTACCAAGTTCCTCTATTGGGATTTCATTTCTCTGTATACTAGCCTTCATATCATTCACCTCTACATTACTTAACGAGATTGCAGAACATGACTTTGGCATTGCCTACAAAGACAAATCAGAAAAAAGATATTACAAATAAATATGTTTTAAAAGAAATATGTAAACTTAGGTAAAAAGGTGTGAAACTGCAAGATTCATTCAATATATATGTTTTTAAAACTTTAAGATTCACATTTTAAAGTTATTAAAAATGCCATTTTCCATATCTGTAATTTGGTAACTTTAAAACAATCTACAGTTATTAGAAAAGGAATATACAGGGGTGCCTGGCTGGCTGAGTCAGAAGAGCATGTGACTCTTGATCTTGGGGCTGAGTTTGAGCCCCATGTTGGGTGTAGAGATTACTTTAAAAAAAGAGAATCTTTAAAAAAGAAAAGAAGAAAAAAAAAGAAAATATATAGCTGTATCAAACCTTTACAATCACATCAAACATTCACTGAAAAAGAACCAGAAAAATACAAATGAAACATAAGCGAATACAACTTTGTTTCCATTTGAATGTAATCTTTCCCCAAAAAACTACTAGTCTTTTAAATTTCCCATTCAATAATGTGTCATGCTCTTAACTTGCACTGTCTTTATAATTTCTGTTACTGCAATACTTTATTTCTACCTTCTAAATATAATCATGACTTTTTCCCTTTAGCTGAATGGTAAAATTGCTCCTCCCTCACATAGAAAAACTTGGATGAAGCTGTGTTATGACAAACTCAGAAAATAAATATGATTCCTTTGAAGTGGTTTGAATAAAAGTTTCATTTTAATCAGAAAGGTGTTTTGAACCAAGTAAACATTCTCATTAGCACTGCAGAACCTTTTTAATCTGTACTTACCACCAGGACAAACAGTAAGCCTATTCGTATCCTATTAAAAATGACTTCTTAATTAGTTAACTTCCTGTGGAGTGGAAACATAGCTCAGATAAACCTCAGTCCTCCTGGTAACCACTACTAGGATGTGCCAACAACCTAACAGGTATATATGAAGGTTTAAATGGGGGGGAGGGGAATTGGAGGGGGAGACGAACCATGACAGACTATGGACTCCAAGAAATAAACTGACGGTTCTAGAGGGGAGGGGGGTGGGGGGATGGGTTAGTCTGGTGATGGGTATTAAGGAGGGCACTGCATGGAGCACTGGGTGTTATATGAAAACAATGAATCGTGGATCTCTACATCAAAAACTAATGATGTATTGTATGGTGACTAACATAACATAATAAAATAAAACAAAATTTAAAAAAAGCAAAACATTTTTAACCGAGGACTCGTATATGCTGGCTGCCATCTGGAGAAAGCTAGTGTTGATATCACTTAATATCCAATGGTTCACATTTCCTGAGAAGATACTAATTAGCATGACTTCTTTGGGACTAATTACTTAAATGTTTTGATAGTCTTTTTAAAGATTTATTTATTTATTTGAGAGTGAGAGAACATGTGCGGGGGTAGGGGGTAGGGTCAGAAGGAGAGGGAGAAGCAGACACCCTGCTGAGCAGGGAGCCCAAAGTGGGGCTCAATCCCAGGACCCTGAGATCATGACCTGAGCCGAAGGCAGACGCTTAGCCGATTGAGCGACCCAGGTGCCCCGATAGTCTTTTCTTTTTTAAAAAACAGAGCACGTAACTTTAAAAGGCTATCCAAACTGACTGAAAACCTTGCAAAAGGAACCTAGTTCTTACCATGTTTCTTGTATACTAATAAACAACCGATGGGAAAAGCAATTTGGCTACCTCTTGGAGCTAACCCTCAGTGGTATTCATGCCACACCTCTCTAAAACACATACTCTTTTCTCCCAAGCTGCTCAATTACACCCCAATCTCATCTCCCTCCACTATAGGACCAACTGACACATGCCAGGGACTGGAACTCTGGGGTGGGAATGGGGCAATCCTGACCCACCTCCCCTCTTGGCAGGTACCCACTGGGTCAACTCACCAATTTTCTTTTTCCCTGTTTAGGTAGAAACAGGGCAGGTTAGCAATCCCTTGGCTAAGCAAATGTCCAATAAAATGCCAGTCTCTTGTTTCTGTTGACATCCCTAAACTCCACAGTCAATTGTCTTGGAGTGCCTCTCTCTTGGTTTTAAAAAGAGAGAACATAACGTCTCCCCACAAACAGAGCACTCCCCCAAACCTTAAAATCTTCTGGCCTCTCAGGTTTCTTTATACAAAGCCTGGTGGTAGGAATGGTGAACCCTTCTTATACTTTTCAATAAGCCTCACAGGGAAAGGCTTGACTCTCACTGCTGGGGGGTCCTTTCAATCATGAGATACTTATACTTAGTACTTTTGTCCCCAGCTTTGGGCCTCAGTAGCAGTTTTGGGATGATAGGGTAAAAAAATCCCACTCAACATCCTGTCAATTATTATAGGGAAAAAAGGGACACAACTAGGGAAGCAGTTAAATAAATTAGAATCCATTCTTACCAAGAAACACTATGCAAAGGTTGAAAATGAATAGATCTCTCTCTTCATATAAGAATTTTTTTAATTAAACAAGAATTTTACATACACACACACACACACACACTGATTCCATTTAGCTTTAAAAAAAAAAAAAAAACCCTGTCTACCTATGTATGTTTTTACTTGTATAAATTCAAACAAAAAGGTTTAGAAGGATACAAACCAAAATATTAGTAAGGCCAATGGGATTGAAGGATAAGGCAAATCAAGATTTCCACTTTATACTCCACATGCTCTAACATTCTATTTTTTGATAACAGCATGCATTTTTTTGCCATTTAAAAAATAGAAAATAAACCAAAGAAAATAAAAGATAAGACATGTTTAACATTATTTCAACTCCCTCTATTGTTTTTTTTTAAATCTTCACAAAGAATATGTTAAACACACTAATTTATTCTAAAAGAGAAAGGAATGATAAAGTCACAGATATCAATACTATGGGTCAGGTGTTCTCAAATATATTTTAAGAGGCACAAAAGCTGGAATTCATAATGTCCTTTATGGAACTTCATGAAATATTGATACTCAGTAGACCCTTGGCATTCAAGAATTTAACATTCACGGTTTCAATTATTTATAAAGGATCCCAAAAATCCATTACATGCAGTAATTTGTAAGTTTGCTGAGACATAAATTTGTCCTGTGCCAATTACAAAGCTCATAAGCCAGAGCAAGTCACTGAACTGGCAAGTGAGGGAACAGAAAAGATGGAAAGTGCTGTGTACTTGGAAGAAGCAGGAGAAAGGCAGAGAGGTCCATATTTTATAAGCACCTACACTGCTTAGATGAAAAGGTGGAGAATGAAATGTGGGAGGCTGAAGATTCATGTTAGAAAAAATGGGGTTCTCTATACTATAAAAATATATGCTAGAGGCCTCAGGGATCAAGGCGCATGGAGCTGGTGTAAGGTGACCTTGGTGCCTGGCAATGGCTGGAATGTACTATTAAGATTATTAAATTGTCTATTAACTTGCCTAGCAAGCCCTCCCCTGCCCTTCAACCATCTGAAGTTTTGTTGTGTTTTTTTTTAAAGATTTTATTTATTTGACAGAGAGAGAGAGAGACAGCTAGAGAGGGAACACAAGCAGGGGAAACAGAAGAGGGAGAAGCAGGCTCCCAGCTGAGCAAGGAGCCCAATGCGGGGCTCGATCCCAGGACCCTGGGATCATGACCTGAGCCAAAGGCAGATGCTTAACGACTGAGCCACCCAGGCACCCCAACCATCTGAAGTTTTAATGTACCACAAGGGACAGGCTACAGAACTTATGCCCAATACAAGTTCATTGAGGTAATTTGCTGTCCCTGGAAAGAATGTCTGTACATTATAATAAGTTGCCTTAAAGGTCCTGCATTAGTCTCATTAGCACCCACATACTAAGGATTAAAAAATCCCAACCTCCAGCCCCATCTTCACTCTTGAGCTTCAAACTTACAGTCAACCACTAACTAGACATTTCTTCCTCAATATCCAATGCACCTCAAATTCAAAATGTGAAAACTGAAGTCCTCCCCCTGTATTCTGTACCAAAGTTTCTGCCAATGTAACTTCTCCATTCATTCTGGCCAGAAACTTGGAAGTCTACCTTTCACTCCTTCTTTTCCCTCATTCTGCTCAGACCCAAGCAATAAGTTCTGCAGTTTTGTTTCTTAATATTTCTCTTACCCAATGCCTCTGTGCCATCCTTAATGCCACCAACCTGGATCAGATTCTCTATATTTCTTGACTGAAATGTCCTCATTTCTTCTCTTATTCCCCTGTCTTTTATTTTGTTCTCTTTCAATCTCTCCTCTAAAGAGCTTCCAGGATTATCCTTGTGGCCAAAATCCTTTCAAAGTCCTCCCTCTATGACAGGTCCCCACTGCCAGCTCCATCCTCACCTGGCTTTACACCACGAATTCTAAGAACAATAGTTCCCAGCAGGCTACTGTACCTCCTCTGCTCCTGTACCTGCTGCCCATCTACCTGGATGGATTCCTACTTCTACCTCTTTTGCACCTGGTTCATGCCTACTCCTCTTCTGTTAAGATTCAGCTCAGATCAGTTCTTTGAGGATCCCTTCCCTAGGAGTTGCCTTAGGCAGCCCCCAAAGCCCGCAGAAAAATCAGTGTGGTGTCAACATTATTTCATCATTTTGAATCATGTCCCCTACAGGACTATGAGCTCCTAATCAGCTATCTCTTATTCACGTTTTATCCCAGATTCTAGCACACTGTCTTGCATATAACAGAAAGACTACTTAGTGTAATGATTATTAGAATGGTCTGTGAAGTAAAAAAATCATATCTTGAATATTAATTTAGCCATTTCCTAACTTTTGACTTTGAACAAGCTGATTCCAACTTTCAGAGTCTCAGGTCTCTTGATCGGTAAACTGGGGATATTATCAATCAACTTTCCAGGATTTTCTAAAAATTAAATGAAATAAGTATATCTTAGTTGTGTCTCTAGCCCATAATAAGAGCTCAATAAATGGGTGTGTGTGTGTGTGTGTGTTTAAGTTGTTTTAGTTAATAGCATTATCAATGCCATTATATCACTACTACTTGCTTAATGAACACATGCTGAATAAA